AAAATGACGTTTTGAACGGCCATATTAAATCGGCCATTTAAAAAAAAAAAATTACGATAAAAAAATAGCATTTTTTTTAAATAGCAAAATTCATCTTTAAGATGAGTCCAGAAAGAAGTCGCTATCTTTATTTTTCTAGAAGATATGAATTTTTAAACATTGGGGAAAAGAGGCTTCAACGCAGGTAACACGACAATTTTAAGATAGGATAATACTTTTTGTTAAATCTGAATCGAATATTATAAATATTGCTTTTCTTTTTTAATTTAGCATTATTTTCTCAATTAAACAGAGTTAAGATACGCTAAGGAGTGATAAATAAATAATTCATTTTATTGCTCAAAAACATATATTTCCACCAAAAATTATATAACAGGTAATTTATATAAACCTGTTAACACAGTATGTAGAAAATAAATAGTAATTAAGTACGCGCATTTAACTTAATATTATTTCAGCATTATACTTTGTCCATCAGTGTCATTAATACAGATAGGTATCCCACTGACGTTTTCACCGTCTATGTAAGAATGAAATATAAATTTTAGTTTTTTTTTCGTGAGTAATAATAATTATGATACTATTCTTATACTCAATATAGTGCAGCATACATAAAAAAGAAAGCACAATAATCAGATACATATAAAAGGTGATAAAACAAGTCTTATTGTGTCCATAATATTAGAAGTCACTCCATGAGCGGAGATAAAATTAACAATAATTACATTTGAACAATTCAATCAATTAGTCAACGCGATTGATCAATTATTTCTCTGTCTCTGATATCTCTCGAATTGTTTAGCATCGTGGATCGAGTGTGGTCGAAAGAAGGTATTTTTAATTTATTTTTAAAATATTTTTAAAGTAAAATTTAAATTACCTTGAAAGTGTGGAAAATAAACTAAGAAAAAGTGTTTATGATTATGTTTTATCACTCTCTTTATAGGCCAAAAATTAAATTCTTTTGATGCGTGAAAAATAAAATATTCTTTCTATTCGATCAAGCAAAGCGGTAGCGGCGCAACGCCAAGTATATAAAAAAATCTTACTGCTCCGAACATTTCTAATGAAAAATTTCCGAATTTTCCAGCCATCAGTCTAAGCGGAAGGGTAGCTCGATATGCCATAAACATTAAACTTCTAGCCTCTTCCGGTGACATATCGTACCACTTACATTCGTATATGCCATACGCCATACTGGTGCTCTGAAAATTATATTTTTGTTTCGCACAGAAATATCGGATTTGATACACGCAGAGAAAGGATTGGCCAACTAAAATATAGCCGTGACAGCTAATGTATGTCTTTAAAATAGGAACAGCTAATCGTTACTGCCAAAGCTAAATTTATTAGTTGTTAAAATTTAGACGCTACAGTAAAAGATATTTGCTGCTAGAATCAAATGACGTTTAGCTAATTCTTTTGAGGAATATCCAGCAAAACTTTTAAATTTTTCAGCAAAATCATTCTTTTTGTGTGCCAGTTTCTTAGCTACTGTTAAAGTACGCTTTTATTTTAGCTAATAAAATTGTATCTCGCAACATATATATTTGATCTTTAATAGATAAGTTTTAGCAATGACAGCAAAGTTTGAACTAGCTACTGATATTTAGCTGATAATGTTAAGTTATTTTTTTTTTGCATGTATATATAATTTACCTCTATTAAAAGTCTTTCAGCTGAGTAACAGTAAATATACAAATGCGTCAATACAAGGGTGCAGTAAAATGAAACAAAAGCCATTTTAATTATAGGTACTTTCGTATGACTTTGTATTATCTGAAAATAATACTTATTTTTTTCTACTTATTTTTTTAAATAATTATTTATAATAATTAAATGTACTATAAAGAAATACGCAAAAAGTAGAAAAAAAGCTAAATATAAAATTTTGTTCTGAAACTTTTAATAATAAACATTTTATTGATGATGTCTAAGAATATAACAGTAAAAGAATTTTGCAGAGAAATGGCCAGAAGTACCAATATGGCGGATAGGTCATTTTTGTCGTGTCCTCCAATTAATGCCTTCTCATACACATATAACGTTACTGATGCAAAATAATGTAGACACAAATCTAATGAAAGCGATACAGACCAGTCCGCCATATTGATACTTCTGGCCATTTATCTGTAAAATCCTTTTACTGTTACATTCTTAGACATCATTAGTAAAATGTTTATTGAAAGTTTCAGAACAAAATTTATATTTAGCTTTTTTCCTATTTTTTGCATACTCTTTTTACTCTTTAGTATATATGATTATTTTCCGATTTTTTACTACACACGATGAGTTATTCGTGCTTGGATTAATATTTATCACTTTTAAAAGTGTATAAAAATTTTTAAGTAATTCTTACATACATTTTAACATCTTTAAGAAGTATCAAGGTTGTGTATTTAAAAAATTGTATAAATGTTATAACTAGTTGCAGCCGACACAATTGTTCAAATGAATGACCCAATTGTGTGTACTAAGGATTAATGTTATACAAGATAACCAACTTTTGATAAGTCAATTTCGGGATATCAATCTTAGAAAATCGCAACATAATAAAAAAAATCAGAATTTTTCATCTTAAATTATAAAGTATTTTGTTGCTATGCACACACGCTTAAACTAACTGCTTTTAAACCGATTAGCAATTTGGTTAGGCAATTACAGTCAATAACGCAGTACTTGATGCGTAAATAATTTAATCTTCTTATAAACTAATTCTTCAATACATTTTTCAATATCGAATGTTTCAGCCTTATTTAGGCTTTCATCAGCGATAATTTCCCCCAAAAAAACCCTTACGTTAAAAACGTTATTCTGCTAATTCAACATCGATTGTTCCGCATTTGAATCCGAAGCAATGAGAGGTAGATGTTCCGTTACTATGTGAAATGTGCTTCTAATTACCAGATTAAAAGATTTGTCATCTATAATAAATGACCCGAATTGAGTTAAAATGTTCTAATGTAATGTATGCTGTATAATTCACGAAGCCCAATCACTCACAACCTTCCGGAACAAGTCGATTCGTATATGTAATAATATATAATATATATAAAGCACAGAAGGAATTGATAGCGATTGTATTGAGAATACAACTTGATACATATAATATGTTGCGTACAGAATGTGAACAGTTGTGTGTTATAATTTAAAATGTTCGTCGGTCATGATGAAAGGTATAAATGTACCTAAATATGAAGATAAATATAAAAATAATAAAAGCAATGTCACATGAGGCTCATACGCACCCGATTATTATTTAAACGTCGTTAAAATCGAGGCATATGCGTGATGCAAAAATTCTGCGTGCGTGTGTGTCAGATTGTAAATTAATACTATCCTTCTGAAGTGTGATATGTAACATTTCCGAAATCGATCTTCTAGACTATTAATGAATCTTTCTGTATCTAAAATCTCGAATTCCCCTAATCGAAAGCATAATCGAACTGTAGTTTATACTCCGTGACCACTGAATGCATGTTACTGTTACGATTATCATTCCTGTGTTCCGAGATTTTGATTTTAATTTGTCTCTTTGTCTGGCCAACATAAGTTACCTCACAATTTTTGCACGATATTCTATAGACTACTGTTCTTTCTCATATCTTTTGGAGGATTAATTTATGAGAAGGTTAAATTATTCACGCACCAAGTACTGCGTTATTGACTCTAATTGCCTACCCAAATTTCTAATCGTTTCCCACACACACACACACAAATTGCAGACGATTACGATATATGGAGGGGATACATTACTGCCAAATCTGCCAATGGTTGTCTATTATCCCTTCATATTATAATCGTTGCATCTGCAGGTGGCATCATTCCTCCCGGATTGCCGTGAAAAGTCAGGGCAAATCCCAGTGAGAAATGCTTTTCAATTTGATGTCAAATCGATGTTGAAGTCATCATATCGACGTCGATTCGACATCGATTCGACATCGAATTAGCGATCATTTTTCACTGGGATGGTGTCCCGTCTAGGATTCTTTCGAGACTTTTATAAAGATTTGAAAATCGAGATATCCCACAAATTTCGGAACGGTCACTTTAATTATCTCAATTTTAACGCAAAAAATAATTTAAAGAAAAGCATTGTTACTAGAAATTAAAAATTAAAACATATATTTAATATAAGTAAATTAAATTCTTCTGTTGCATAAGTTGTGCGAAAAACAAAACAAATCTTCTCACTTACCGTGAAAACTTGAAAGCTTTCAAAACACAGCTGAAAAGTAGCGCATAACAAGTGCACAAATAAAACTGCGCTATAGCAGTTGTCGATTGCCTTCGCATTCCTTGAATTCATAATCATTATCAACTAATTGTAATTACTTTAATGTATAAATTTTATAAAAGTAAACTGATTTTAATTTTTAAAGTAAACTGATATGTGTTTACGTATTTTATTATATGTTCATATTTAAGTCTAATAATCTTAAAATGCTGTAAATATTTTGAAAATTATATTAAAATATATCTTAATTAAGAAACACTGTTTATGTGACATTGTATATACCTTCTCTAATAAATATGAAAGAGAAACGTTAAATTTTATTTTAAAATATCTGATAATTAATTACTGTAAAGATATTTCGCTGTTGAATGATCACTGGAAAGGACCCTGTATGAATCTTATAAAAAAATCACTTCGTTAAATCCGTTCGTTTTAAGATATGATGTTTTTGAAATTTTAAAAACATGTTTTTATTGCCACACCCATCTATCAAGATAGAGAGAGATATAGAGTCTATAGAAGTCATAGAACCTGAGTGTCTGCTATATTTCTTTAAGATAACTTAATACTTCTTTTATATGTAACAGGTGTGTGAGTGTACGTTTATGTTGAGTATTTGTCGTGTGTGATTTTATAAAAATGTGGATGTGTTCATAATTTAGTATGTTTTATGTTTATACATTGTACAATGCACATATTTTGGAATGCATATTGTGACGGCTACACGAGCCATCAAATTCGTATAAATAACATATTTATAAAACCATACACGAAACTCATACATAAATGTAGGATTGAGAGAGTTGCTTTGTAAGTAAAAGTAATTAGTTATAGTTATAGGTTTTTGTTTTTAAAAAATAACTTATAGTTATTGTCACAAGTTATCGGGTCTAAAAAATAATATGTATATTTACTCAAGAAGTAACTTTTGAGTTACTTTTCTATTATTATAACAGAGCAAAATGAATAACATACTATATATATTAAGATCAAACAAAAAGGCTAATTTATATGTTTACGTGTTACGTTTTACTAATCTATATGTATACAATTTTATTTAAAAAGTAGGAAAAGTGATTCAACCGTAGCCTATATTGATAATATATTGAAATAAGTTTGAAATATATAGAATAATTATGAAAGTTATTATTGAATTAGTTACTATAGTTACCAAGTTAAGTTACAGTTATAGATGGAAAAAAGTAACGAAGTTACTGAAGAAGTAACCCTAATTTCGTTACAAGTAACGAGTTACTTTCTAACTCTGCATAAATGGTACATGCACTCACATGCCACGCATACACGCACACGTAGCACTCACATTCAAGAATACATGCGTACATACGTATACTTATTATACATAAAAGAAAGTATCTGGTTATCTTAAAGAGATATAGCAGACACTCAGCAGACGTTCTACGACTTAAAGCTCTATATCTCTAGATACTGTAAAGGTGTGCGAATAATTCGAATCGAGAATTGAATCGAATTACAGTGGATTCGATTCAAATTCGTTTTCAAATCTGTAAAATTTTAAATCGAATAGTTCGAGAATTTTGAATCAACAATGTTTCGATTTCGAATCAATCGCCTATTTTATTTGCTTCATTTATATCTCCCGTGCGATCAATTATTCTTATCTAATAAATAAGTATTTTTGATGTATGTAATGTATCTATGTAGATTAATATAGAAAATATTCGAAAGCATTCTAACTATTCGTGTATACACATATTATTAATTACATATTTTCTAGTTCAAAATGTCACATAAGATCATGATCCTTTGTAATGAAATATAATCGAAAACAGATCTTCAGTTTATTTAAATCATTGCGTAAAATAAAGTAATTCATAAATTTTGATATTTATTACGTTTAACTTAACATGTAATGTAAATCTAGGAAAATTTGATTCAGATTCGATTCGATTCGAAGTAAAAATTTCAGATTTGATTTGATTCGATTTCGAACATGTTATCAAAAATTCAATTCGATTCGAATGTAAATGCCATGTAAATGCTTGATTCGCATACCTCTACTAGATAGCATTCATTAAGTTTAAGTTGTAGCAATGGAGACATTTGTTCAATAAACTACAACTCTCGACTCGTATTTCAAAACGGAATGGTGACCGGAATTTTTCCGTAACAATCGTGCAGAGTCCTTTCTCGACATACCTGATGAGATGTTCGTGACGCATAGTAATCGCGGCTAGGCCTTTCTTAAATGTCGAGGAGGATATAGATCTTTTTGCTCGCTGGTCAACCAGATTGTAGAGTGTCGTTCGTAGATTTATCAACTGCGCGCATATGTGCAGCACTAGTATCGAAACGAAACTGTCGACTGTACAATTAATGAGGGCCGCGTACGTGCCGCCGGAAAGTTGAACGTAAAAAGTGATTTCGTAATTCGGGCTCTTCTGAATGTTGTAAGGATAGGCAAACTTATATACGAGATTCCGATAAGACAGGTGCAAATTGTTATAGAACTTCAGGATGTTGAGAGATATGTAAAACGTGACTGTGGTTGCACTGGACACGTAACATGTAAAAGATAAGTTTCTTCCACGTCTCGCGATATTTAACATTGTATTTCGTTCCCAGTCGGTCTTCGAAGTCGTCCAATCGGTTACGACCGATGCCATCACCGTTCGAAGCGCTTTCGAAGTAAATATGATATATATATATCAATATGAATGATTCACATGGGCGAGGCATTAAACCCCTTTATATATGAATAAAACTGTTGCACAACATTGATCTTCAAGTTAAATAACGAATCTTCACACTGTGTAGCTCTTACGATAAAAAATAACGATATAATAATTTATTCTCCAAATGATAACTTACTGTCACCGTGATACCAAGTACCAACTAACTTGCATAGTGCCATCAAGCTGAAGTTCGCGGAGGCGACGTATTCCCCCATTCGAGCCACATTGCCCCAGGCAAGAATCATATTCGTCAATTGCGGTATGATTACGTAAAAAGTCAGGATACATGATACGATTGCAAATCTTATGTTTGGCCGATGAAATTCACTCAGAGGTATAAGTGGATCAGGCCATATGCCCAATATCCGTAAACAATGGCGACTCAGCGCAAAGGCGTAATTTGTTAAATCTAACAAAATCAAATTTTATAAAGAATATTTCCGTGTTAATTTAAAAGAAATATTATCACATTATGTTACTTTCTAAAATTTGTTTTTCTGACTTGCTTGGAACAATTATTTATTTATAAACAAATTTAAAAATTACTTAATATTTTACGAATGTTTCTGCGTTATAGATATCTATAAAAATCGAAGCACTTATTCGTAAAATTCGCAACTAATATTTCTTTAAGACTCGACAGGGAAAATATTAAAGAAAGATTCGTAATGGATGACGTAAAAAAAGAATATATGTCATTTTTCTAAAGCTGAACTAAAAGTTTAAAACGTTTTTAATAATAGTTATAATTCTCTTTAAAAAGATCTACTTTTGTAAGGTTTTTTATTCTGACGAAAAATTGCTATTTCAATCGTATCTCGGTTTTCTAAGGATTAAAGTTTCCGACAAACTCTTTGTCTATAACGGAGAGAGACAAAAAATGAATCGTGTATACACCGGCGAAATTAATCGTTCAACTTATGCACCATGTCCAATTCCACTTCGCCACTCAAAAACACTTTGGAACACAAGCTATATGTCGAGAAAGCAAGCCTTTGCTAGCATAGAAAGTTTTATACCCGTTCTCGCAAACTTTCGTGGAACATGAAGTTCCGAACTTTTATAACAGATGTATAGATGCCTTGCAAAAAATTATAATTGCATATATATCCTTTTTTTGCGATAAATTCAAAGCAAATAATTCCCTTTATTTAATGAGCAATTGTTAGTTACGTAAACGTTACCATGTATTAATATTGTGAGCATTCTTTACTAAAAAATCATTTTATAAGAACAACTTATTAAGTAGCAAACAGGATATAGTCACTTTAAGAGAAGAAATATCTTTGTAATGTTGAGAAAGTAGAAATAAATTGTAACGTAAACACAATATATATGACTAGTATATTAAAATTGACTAAAATTAAGAAAATATTAAAAACTATGCATTAATATCAATGTAAATAGTAATCATTCCACACAAAGCAAGTTATTTAAAAACGTAAGATTTCGTTAACTTATGAACTTAGAAACACTAATTATTTTATGAACAGTAATTTTAGTTATAATTAATCCTTTGAAAATGTTGCCTTTTTGAGAATTTAAGCAGGAGTTCTAATAACACATATACTATTAAAAATGTGTCCTAGCAGCGCACATACTATTAAAAATATAATTTTTATACTATAATACAATTGCATTACATAACTATTTCACACAACGCGCCTATGTTTTTTTTAATAGAATATCGCGGAATATGCGAACTTTTGACTATTTTTTTCGAGATTCTACCTTCTTTGGCGGGCATTATGCAGTTCACGGAGCGAAAATTATCGTTTGACTGACGCGTGACGTTCCTCCTGATCAAACCGCCCTGATTGTGCGCTTGCCCAGTACACAGAGGATTGTACCGCTACCATCTGTGAGTACTTCTGTAAACCCTTTCGGATAACAATCAATAGTAACATGAGTGGTACGTAATCACCATGCGCCGAATTGGATGCCGTGAATGTGTAGCACACGCTTTTCGGCTATAAGCAAGTTGCTTGCCCAATGTGGTCGTTCGCTCGTTAGCATCGACCAGTGCTTAATTTTCAGCAGTTGTTCAAAATATACGAATAGATGTCACTGAAGTGAGAGTGAATTAAAAACTCAGATATATGTATACCGCACGTGTGTCGTAGAAAATATTATTTATTCGTTGACTTATACATACACGATGTCATACGCGTGTAGGGACAGAAATAAATATATTCTCGTAACGGTTCTGGCGAACGTTTCTCTCTCTCTCTTTGAATTAGTAATATTCGATATAGCATTCGAATAACATTTCGATCATTTTTCTGATCGTTTCTGATCTCTCAGCGTATCGAAATAAAAATTATACTTCACGCGCGACATAATTTATATTCGGACGAAACGCGGGGATCAGAAATAAGACGAGACGAAGCGACGACGGGCGAAAATGTTCACCGAAAGGACGATTAGGTACAATACCACAATATATGGTGAACATTCTTGGAAATTGCAGAAGATGCAATTCATTTACCGCCGAGCTTACTCCTCTTTCTTAAATTCTATACACTTAATTATCTTAAGTTACAAATATGAGTGCATATTAAATAAAATCGCCTCGATGGCAAGTATGTACAGTTTTGGTTCGGCGCTGATTCAAACGTATTTGACGAAAACGTTTTTAATTGCAAGACCATTGCAAATTATTTCTCTTGATCATGTTAAAATATTTTAGATGCAACTGATCACAATCGCGAATAGGAAAAATTTCCATTAATCAAAAAGTACCTCATATACCATATATACCGCGAATTAATATATCCGGCAAGCCTTGATAGAACATTTAACTCTTTCCGTATTGTTGACATTTCTATACATCGACATATTTGAGCAACGTTTAAATTAATTTTACATAAGAAAACGTTCCGTGCTTATTTTTTTGTTACTACGTTATTGAACGCAGCTAAAAAGTTTGCGTATTGTTAACAATTATATATACAAGATTTTCTGTAAGTGATGTTTTTAATGCGAAAATATTTCCCGTTGCTAATCGAAATAATTGTCCCCTGAAACGTCGAGATAGAAGAGTAATTTCTAAGCTGCGTCCGAGAAAAGAAGAGGGAAACGCAGCTGAGTTTTTAAGACGCAAACGCAACGAAACACTAAGAGAAACAAAATATTTTTTTTGCAGAACTTAACTAGAGTTAAAAGCGCCAACTTGTAGGAGAAGAGTTGATGATGCAGTTTGAGGACTACAGGCGTATCTAAAAGAAGACGTTGCCGGGTCTCGCCTGTGGGCACAGGAAGCTAGAACAATCGTGTCTCCTGACAGCGTCCATGACCTCCTCGAAGTGACTGGACACCTGTACGGCCGCTCCAGGTTGGATTCTGTAAGTACGCGTACGAACGTCGATTAGTGTACGATAGCGAACCATTAGAAAGTTGGAGACACACTTCGACAAATGACCGACACCGCACGCAGTTAATTACTAATTAGGTGTGCACTAGATTACAAATCTTTTAATCTTTTCACCGTGCTCCCCATTAACGATCACTCGCTCCAATTAACTCGCTTTCTTTAGGACACACTGAGACATACTAGCTGATTTAGAAGTATCTGTACTTGTACGCTAAATAGTTAATTAAAAAATAATTATAATACATTATAATTATATAAAGTAAAATTTAAGTGTATTTTCAAAATACAAATGCAGTTTATTATTCATCGTGACGTTATTCCTTAATTTTAAGCAAAAAGAAGCGGAAATCTTTTCTGAAAAAAAAAGTAAAATTTTATATTTTCAATTTAATATCGATTATTTGGCTAATCGAATGTACGAAAATGAGAGAAAGAGTTTTAAAGAAGTTTCAATATCTTAGAGGCACATATGTAATCGTGAGCAGAAAAAATTGGCAAAGGAAGCTTATATTGTCCTTCTTTCATTGGCCATTGCAATTCTCGCTATTTTTAGAAATGCGGTTTGTCCTGCAAATTCTCGTCACGTATGTGAGAACTGCCTGCTCGGGGATAGTATGCATTACAACATAGTACATGATATAATGCCGCTCTCCCATCGGTATATGGATGCACGCGTTTGCAATGAATTGAATTGAATAATGGCGTGTGTTTCACATGTTGTCAGTACAGGAAATGCCATATTTGTCATTAACAATCCATTCGTGGATAACGAACACGTAATATCATTGGAATTACTCGCGAGAACTTGAGCTCTCTCATCCCGCTTTCAATTTATCTCAAGCGACGCTCATCCGGACAATCGTCTTTCTCAAGACGAAACTTCCTAAACACCTTAAAGTTCCTCGAATTTTACAAACTATTTCTAACTTTCGAGAATAAGAGACAGATAAAAGTCTCGATTATGAAATAATATAGAAAAGTGCGTAAGAAGCATTTGTATTTGTTACGAATTAATTAATTTATAATTACATATTAATAATTGCGAATGAATTTCCAATACGCAGCGGTGAATTTTAGACGGGATGAATCATTTGAAATGACACATTTCGCTTAATTACTGTGACGCTGATGGAACCGCATCAGAAAGCGGCTCGACAGGGATTATTCGCGATTGAGAAGAACTGGAAGGAGAGGCGAACGCGACGTGGCAAGTAAATTATCACATCGGATGTATGTATGTATACATACAGCGAGTTTTCTCTTTGTCCCTTCTTTTCTTTTGTTTTCGATAACATGTTTGAGTCTTTCTCTTTCTCTCGACGATCTTTTTTTTTTCCTATCGCACATGGCCAGCGCGATAGCGGACAGGGCGCAGCGTGCGCATACAGTGAAACTGTGCTAAGAGGTAAAAGTCGAATCAGTCAGTAGGACGTCGTCGGCGAAAGCTGAAAGAAAGTTATCCACGGCTCGGACTGTAGTTCTGTCCGACTGGCTGTTATCGGCGTCTCGTTGACGTTTCGAATGCCTGATAGTTTCAGGCCGATTGAATCGGCTTGTAATGATTTCACGGGAATACGGCGAGAATCGATGCGATCGATTTAGTGTATTTCGAGTTGCCATTACCGACAAAAGCGATTTGCGGTATTGTGACATTAATAAAGCGAGCATAACCCGCGATATAAGTACGCGGTTTCGCGCATTACTTTATAAACGCTAACAGTGAAGAAACTGTTACGTAGTTATAATAATTTTTAATTAGAAACTATATTTTAATGTAATATTGCAATCAATTATTGTTACGTAATTTGGAATAAATAATTAAAGAATACATTACTTTTCAAAAATAGAAATTATATTAATAAAAAAGAAGAAAGAAATGAAGAATTTAAAAGTGCAGAATGTACTTTAATTAACAATATCGTATCAAAAATTTAAAGTGAACGAATCAAAAGCAAACAAATAACTAAGAAGAGAAGATAATAATTTTTAAATAGAAATGTAAAAAACAATTAAATGATTTGTTATCTCATCGAAATTTTTTCAATTTTATTATCGCGCTTTATTATATTTAATCATTTATTAAATTTACGCAGGTCGTAAATTTAATAAATAATTAAATATTCATTCGATTATAATAATTACATTCTAAGTCTAGTCAATAATTTCCTTTCCGTCCCTCGAATGTACAGTAAAGTAGAGATATATTTTCGTCTCTTATGGATAAAAATATAAAAAATCAAAAGTACTCACAATCTTAATAACCCCGCCATCTTTTTCTCCATAAGCAGCGAAGCATCGGCACCTCTTTGGATCATCGTGTCGCAAAATATCCTCTTCGCGCAGGGCGTGTTCGTCCAATCGCCCCGTATGTGAGCAACTTCCGCCACTTCAGCGTTCTCCAGATTCTGCAACGCGTCCAGGAGCTCCTGGTCACTTTCGACGCTTCGCTTTCGTCTCCTGTTCGTCGTTTCCTTCTCGAGATTACTTCCGAAAACTTGCGATCTGTCCAACACGAAAAAAGCACCGAGTCTCTGATTTCTTCCCTGCTGTCCATTACCTTCATTTATCAAAGTTGCATCCCGTGAACTGTCACCGATCATCTTCGCGGCGTTCTTCAATGCGTTTTGATCCAACACTCGAAAATTTTCTGATGGAATCTTCAAGCTGTCTTTGACAATTAAAACCGAATTTTCACTCAAGTGCTTCTCCTTATTCTTCTTCGGGATCAGGAATTCGGTGATATCGACGCGATCTAAGCCAGCGGGCAGATCGATTTCCACGATCTCGCTGATGGAATCGGCTCCTTTCCTCTGAAAGCGCTTGCTGCGTACCAGATTCTTCATGTCGCTGTCCGTCTTGAAGATGTCTAGATAATCGAGACTTCTCTTTTTACGTCCGTTGGTTTCCACATAATCAGCTTCGTCCACCACCTGTTTACTTTCTCGATTCTCAATCCTCTCGGCGTTCCGCTTGTCCTCCTCCAAAACCAGGAAGACCCCGTCGCTCTCCGCCGAGTCCATATCCTCGTTTCTCACTTTACCGTTCTGAGGAAGGTTCTGCAGCACGTACAGGGTCTGCGGCGTCGCTTCGTTCGACCTTAGACTCCCGTCCTCGAGCGTGCTCAAGTACGTTCCGGCTTCCAGGGCACGCTTGTGCTCCAGATCGTCGTCGTCCGCGTTCGATCGTTTCAGTACGTCGACGTCGAGATACCGGCCAACCGCCACGGCGCCTATGCCGAGCGCGGCACCAGATGCGACGAGACCCAGAGCCGGTATCAGGATACTCGTGCCTGTTGCCACCGTGTCGATCTTGTTCTGAGCCTCCTTGGTTGGGCCCTTAGACAGACCGAGATTCTGCGAGATCTTGTGAGTGGCCTCCACCAGAGGGTCGATCACCGGCCTGGTGAACTGCGAGACCCTCTCGACCCCGGTGGAAAACTGATTCTTCAGATTTTCCGAGATCTTCACCCAGAACGGCGGATCGTACGGTCGTTTCAAGCCGTAGAAGTGCTGATTCGGATAGTAGTTCTTCGTCGTGTAGCTGTCCATGTTCTTGTTGTTCAACACGTACTTCTTCTTGTGACGTTGCTCGGTAAACGAATGCTGGCTTTCCGGGAAATTGTCCGGTCGGCGTTTCTCGTTCTTCAGGATCTTGGCCGGTTGCACGCCCAGCTCCGGATGGGCGTACTGGAGAACGGGCGCGCGGGCGCCAGCCTTCAGCACTACCGGCGCGATGGTCTGACTCTCGGTGGTGTAACGTTGAGAAATCGGGTAGCTCGCGATGCCGTCCGGATGCAGCATCCGCTTGTGGACACTCGCGCGATAGTGGTCATTGTGTGGCTCGTAGACCTCGGCTTTCAAGGCTTCGTTTTTGTAATTCCTCGGATCCCACTCGAAGTACACGTTGCGGGCTTCCTCGTCGTAGTTGCGACCGTACCTATATAGCGTAAAGCAAAAATTAAAAAACTAAACAGAAAACTGGGAATTGTTCAATACGACAAACGATCAACGAAAACAATTATATACGTGACTAAAATAATTGACACAATTATAAAATTATATTCACATTTATGTTTTTGTGGGTACGACAATTAGCGAGTTTTTATTTTAAACACTCTTACTCGGGCAATACTCGACCGATTTTTTATAAATCGTATATCTCACCTTCGATTAACATCTTTAAAGAACTTTTCAAATTTGTGCCTCTTCTCCGCGTTCTCATCAAAAGGCTCGACAGGAGGAGGCTCCGCGGTAACCGTCGAACTGCCTTCGGGAGTTATCAGTTTGTTATTGATAACCCGAGCGTTTCGCCAGGTTTGCACTTTGTCGATAGGCTCGTCGGGCATTCTCGTACCATGAATTACCGGTATACCATCGATGTCCAATGACATGGGCGTTCTCTTCGGCGCGGTCTTCACATTGATCTCCGATCGAACGACCACCTCCGGAGGCACGGCTTTGCTGTCTCGATTTTTCAACAGATTGGCACCAATATTCGTTCTCGTGGACACTATATGAGGTATATACATGTAATGAAGCGCGCCCTCGTTCGCGGCACTTTGATCGTTAAGTTCGAAGCTCTTCTGAACTCGATCCTGGAAGTTCCTGGCAAACAGGATATTGCTGCCGAATGCAGCTTCGCCTAACCTGTCGTAGTTTGTTCTTCTCTCGATGGCAGTCTCCACGTTCGTCTGCAACGGTTTCCAATTTCGATACTCCTCCTCTTCCTCCGGCTCCTTCTGCTCCAAAGCCCTTCCGTCCGCGTTCAATGGCGTCCATTTCCCGTAATCCATTAAGCTAATAGGCTGACTTCTCTCAGATGTCGGTCTCTTATCGGTTCGAGCGTTCGGCTTTTCACTTTCCGAAGATCTGGAGAACGTCGCCCTGATCTGTTCTACTTGAGCTTCCTCGAGTCTTCGAACTTCATCCTTCTTTTTAGCTTCGCTCCTCTCTTCATTGAGCGTCGATTCGTTCTGCCCGTTTATCGAAAAATTTCTTTTATTTTCCACAGTAAAGTTCGAGTCTTCTCGAGCAGGTTTTGGTGTCACCTTCGAATCATTGGTGAACGATGATTTGTCTCGTCGTTTGACGATTAAAGTGGCCACGTTGCCTTCGCTCGTTCGCACTTTCAGCTCTTCCGTCTCACCCGGAAGACTTCGAGAGACCTTCAGCATCGTTCTGGTGTAGCCTGGTTTAGGTAACTCGCCACAGTATGTGCCAAGTATTAAAGCCACGAAAAATAGAAGAAAGGTAATCTGAAATAAAATTGAATCGCTTAGTATAAAATTAATATATATATATAATTTTATTATTTATTATATAATTCATCATATAATTTATCTTATAACTTATTATATAATTTCATTCTTGAAACGTTTTAAATTATTTTTTATTAAATAAGCTAATATTTAGCCTATTTAATAAAAAAAAATAACAGTCGCGTTGAGATGGTTATTCAAAATCAATAATCATGCTTAACGTTAATGGTTATAACAGATTAATAATAATAATAATAATAATTCCTCATCTAAACTTCTTTTTTCAACCAATAGTTGATAATATGAATGAAAGAATGATTGAGAAATGTTACTTTAGATTGATGCAAAGTTGCAGAATTTTCTTAAGTGTGTGGTCGACTTCGATTGTTTGATAATGTTCACCGACGCAACCGGGATGACGTACTGCTTCATCAGAGGTACTGCGCACCATAATTTTTGCGCGAACGTGTGCATCTGATGTTGCGTACATGCATGATTGCGCCTCGACAATTGAAGAACAAACGGAGACGACCGGAATGCAAAATGAGTTTTCAAAAGGTTTTCGAAAGTCGGCCTTACGAGTCCCTAGAAATTCAGCAGTTTGCCCGCGCGTTTACGTTCGCGACGGACGAATAAATACACCGGCGAACATTTAAGTAGCCGCAGCGTGGTTTTCGAGTCGCATCCCACGAATTCTCGTCGGCGCATCTCGATTTATTCGTAACGGATGAATCGGCGCCGAGTCATCGGAGCAACGCTCCAGCGCGGTTCGGCGACGAGAGAAATTTAATAGCCCGTTGAGATTGTCGGCATTCTTTCCCGGCGTTAGAAAATAGCAATGTAGTAACCGAGCGGCGGGTTACTTTCTATTATCAAACGTGACGATTATCCCTGATTGGAATTACGCGCAGCTGACAATCCTCGCGGCGATTGCGCCGTAAATTTGCAGCTGAGTCATTGCGCGAATTATAAAATATCATTTCGACATACCAAAACTAGGTGACAGAAGCGTAACGGAATGCGAAGAAATATACGGACGATGTAGATCATTAAGTTGGTAGCAGAAGTATACCTTCTTGATCAGAATCGATAATTTCGCCGGTTATTAATAAATTTGCTATTATTATTATTATTATTATTATTATTATTATTAATAAACGTGCTGTTAGTCTGATTTCCTTGGCGAATGTCATTACTTAGAGTACAACCTTTAGAAACCACTTAAAGTCCTCGTTAACGTGAAAACGTCCGAACATCCGGCCGTTGAAGTACGTGCACTTGAAGTTCGACGTGTGTTACGGCGGGGAAAAAAAATACTTTCTAATCGCGTACGCGCAAAAAGCGGATAAAATGAAATAAAATCGTGAAAGGTGGCTCTGGACCGAGCGTGCTACACCGACAAGTGAAATGGAACGACATGCTTTCCCCGTGCACGTTTTGCGTGAAACAAACGCGCGTGCGTTAACTTGTCTACTCGACCGGTGCGTATCGCACCATAAGTATACATATACGTCAGCAGGGAGCACGCGAGACGATCCACTTTTTCCATTCTGATGACTTTCGATAGACGACTGTCAGCAGCTATTGATATCTGATATTGACGATACGATATATTAATTTCGATAACAAAGGCTGTTCATTTATTTATTTCCTATTATTTAAAAATTAGAATTCAATTTGATTGAAATCGCGCTTTAAAGTATTTCAAAAATAAAAGTTTAATTATGGTTCCAAAATTATACGTTTAAAATAATTCGAAATTCTTGTGCAAACACTTAATTCAAAATCCAACCAGTAATTATAATACAATTCGTCACGTTTTGATAATGATTTAGTAGAAATATTTGATAATTGAAATAATTGAAAATCGAGATTAATTCTTCGGCTATTAAGATTGTTTTTTTAACTTATTGAAACTGTATTAAATCCTTTATTTTTATGAGTTTCTGATCGTACGTTTGTCTTTTTGTTTAAATCTGAAACCTTACATCAAGTTTCGAAACTTTATTTAATAATTAACCAATTATTATTTATTTATTTCCAAAATAATTATGCATATTTTTCCATTTCTTTTGAAGGAAAGAGCCAAATTTAGTTGTGCGAAACACACGAGATCCCGGTCAGTTAACGCTACGCATTAAAGCGAGGTCGAAATACGCGGCACAACGATATGCATGGCACACTGATGCATGTCACTCGTGGTTTCCGCTCCAGAAAATCCACGGGTCGACATTAATTGCACGGCAATTAAGCCTAGATCTAGTTTTTTTCCCGATGACCGTCGCGTTCATTCGTGTGGAAACCGCCCACGCTCTACCGCCGATCGTCGATCGTTGATCGTCGATCGTGAAGATCAAGTTTCGTCACGCGTGCCAATCGATTAAGCGCGGGCGCCGTAAGATGATCGAGATTAACCTGCGATCAACCGTGCGGTATCGTTCACGGTTATTATTGCAACGATCATGAATAGAGATAAGCCGCGTATATATTTACGTAACCAACGGAAGCGACGGCCCATCCGCATTTTTTGCGGATTAATTGATCATTGACTTTGATCTTATTGATAAAAACTTTGATCTTATCTCATTCATAAAAGCTTCAGCAGGTGAAATCATTAATACTCTGTGCATACTATGTATTAGATAAAGGAACACGCGGCGTGATTGTGAAAGCAAGAAGAAGAGAAATGCTTATTTTAGTCTGGAGAAGCGATTTTTCTAATGCAGTCAATTAATTGCGTAATTCTGAATTTTTTTGTGATCGGGGAAACTAATTTTTCACGAATCTGATAACAGAATTTCTCTATTCGGAAATAAAATTTAAAAAGTACTTTTGCCGCGATGATTTTTTTCCTGTTTAACAACTCTTTGAAACACGCGCGATAGAATCCGCAACACTTTCTACAAAAATCACATCATCTCAAACTCACGATGCACCACATGCATATTTTATGATAAAAATTGAAAACGGAGAAGGAGAGAAAAAGAGGGCGAGAAAAAAAAATATTTACCTGGCATCTCCTTATTATCGCCATTTTTCCTGGATTTCCTAGCAATTATTTTCTGTGATAAATAAAAAGTACAAGGCGGCGAGCGGAGAAAGATGTGCACGAGATGTGTCCGCGGGGGGGGAAAACGAAGATACTTTCTTCAGGACTGCATGATATGCGACTGTCACCGGTTGTCGTCGCGAATTGGGAAACGTCGCGCGAATCGCGGGAGTCTCTGCTCCGGCTTCTTCAGACGAGAGTGACGAAAGCGACGAGGAAAGAGGAAGAAGGGGCTCTCACTCCGGAGGCTCCCTGGCTCCTTTACCGCACCTGTTGACTCCCGGAATATCTTCGCGAGACTGACGGTGCCGCTCGGCCGGCGGCTCCTCGTGCGCCCGATCGACGTATGAGCGAGACTTCTCTCCGACCTACTTCTCGCGCCCGCCTTCGTCTTCTTCCGTAACGGCGTGAGACGTCCGCGCTTAACCCTTCCGGGGACGGAGAGAGGGGAGGCCGATCCTTCTCCTATCGTTCGATATCCGTGAGACTTAAGGGAGACGTCTGAAACGATTAAAATTATTAATAATATTAATTAGTCTGTCATACACAAATAATCGGGGTTAAGCTCTTCTCCCTCCAGGAGAAAGATAACCCTTGTGTACTTTTACAATTTATTTACAAGAGTGAAAGAGAAGGCACGCGTAACTGAAGATGTTTCTGTACATGGTTTAAGTGTGGCAAGTGTTAAATGGAAGAGAAAACTATACCAAAAAAAAAATCCTTTCAGAGAGTTCTGCTTTTTCAGAGTTCTTTTTTTTTGCTCGAGATGTTGTCATGTTTGTTATTTTGTCGTGTTTCAATATGAGAAAGAGGACCAGTATTTAATTCGCAGTTTCTATGCAAATCTGCGCTCTCAGTTAAATGTCAAAGGCACTGTTTAGTAAAAAAAAATTCATTATGTCGCGTAAACAGCTTTTTTAGGAGAACACTATTTATATAAATTACCGAAAATATTTTATTGATCAACAAGAGAAGGACAGGGAGAAAGAGAAAGAGAAATGAAACATAATGGTATAAGAAATCGTGTCATTACTCAGGAAACAAAAATAAACCTTCTTGCGTTCCTCTGCAAATTGAAGCAACTTTTATTTAAGCCGTGACGAAATTAATTTGTGGCAATAATGCGTTACTTCCGTTTGTTCCAATTATCGGACCATTGCCAAGAAAAATTTGCACATTCAGGACAACGATTGGACCACATCATTACATCTTTATCTCCGGTTTCCTCTTCTCTTAATACTTTCTCAGTACTCATATTTCGCCCTTCATTTCTCAACTTTACACCGCTTTCGTTTTATGTTTTTTTTTTGTACAGCTCTTAGATTTCCAAATTATGAGAATTATCTCATATAGCAATATTCTTGAATTACAGAATATCGTCCATATCATCTAACAGATTTATAGATTCTTCGATTTTTGCAGACGTTTACAAATTCGTCTTTTTTTTCTTAAATAATAGATATTAATAAAATTAATTTGATTAGTAATTATATAAAAATAGATAAAAACCTCTCTTTATAATAAATAACATAATATTTTTATTTAATTTTTAAAAGTATGCACATACATATGTGAATAAAGGCATAACCGTGTTCTTCAGCGGCTGCTAGCGGCAAAGATTCGTTCCTCTAAATTAATTCACAATAAGTCTCACCTCATATTAGCTGCAGAGATATTATTCTACAGTCTCGTTGGATAAACTGAAAATAAAAGAGTAGAGATTTCTATCGCGGTAATCTTAATAACAACATTTGCATCAATTAGTTTCGCTTTGCACTCAATTTCAAACTTCTGCCTAATGCCTCATCCAATGTATTTAGTATTTTTTTACTTTATTTACTAAATTAAAAAGAATAAATACTGTTTATACTACTATTCTACAATAGCTTAAAAATTTTCCTCGATATTACAGATCGTTAAGTGTATCACTGTAAAAATTTCGCATATTTCGAAAACTTTGCATTGCTCTCTATTGTTTTACTTACAAATTAAATAAATCATGTCAAACATAATTGTTCTTTTCCGTTGAAAATGACTCATCAGAAAAGTTGCACAGAGCAGTAGTTATTGCGTTTCCATACGCGTTTTGTCGTACCATTGTTCCACCACGGCGTAAGTCTCCCCACTTCTCTCTCTCTCTCTCTTTCTCTCTTTCTCTCTCTCGTGTAAGCGAGTTTTAATTATCGGGTAGATCTTTATCAACGGGATTCCGGAGACGCGCGAAACTTTGTCGACGGCAGCCGGTTTAATTTTCAAGTTCACGAACGAGGGGCCGGTTCGGGACGAACCGGAAGAGGCGTTCTTCGTGAGAGGCCGCCAGCGAGTTCAGAGACCCGCCAGTGAAAGTCGATCGGTTAAATGACGACGACGGCGATGCACACCTGTGTAACGTCCTATTCTGGCCGCGGGCCGCAAGTACACCACGTGCTCCCTCTCCGATGAAATCTCTTTGATCTCTTTTGCTTTAAATCGATAATCACTTCCTCCTATCCGCAGCACTTGAAGCATCGTCGGAATAGCATGTATATATAATCGTGTAATCGCGATGTTAATAATTTATAATATTAATAATTTTCTACCACTGATCACTAATTTGCTACCTCTTTCTGTTTTATTTCTTTGAACGTTATTTTTTCCGATACAAATTATTTAACATATAATTTGAAAATTACGAACAAATTACGTTGGCATAAATTAGAACAGCAAATTTAAATTTTAAAATGATTTATTAATTAAATTTATTAAATAAATGTTAATATTTGGTTTAAAAAAATATATATACACATACAGCTAATTTTGAATTACTGTGCGTGAAATAAGTTTCGAGAAATAAGACATATAAAGATACCGACATTTCAAAGAATCTACTTTCTCTCTTTTAGAAATTCGAGACAAGTAATGTGATGAGGAAACAGCAAAATATTTTATCTACAATTTGTGTATACATTTAATTATTTTATATTTAATTATTCATAATACAAGTTCATAATTTCAGTAATTAACTGCATGCGAAAATAATAATGCACGTGGTTTTATAGTTTATAATAGATTCTACTATTTAAAAATTATTTTTCTAATATTTAAAAAAATATATAGTTGTATTAGTGAGTACAAATATATTTTTTACATTATGTATTTTTGATACTATAATTGATCAAAAATTTTTATTACACTACACAATACTTGTTAAATTCAAGACTTACTTGCATATTTTGATTTTTTATTGCAACCGAATATTAAATGCAAGAAATAAAAATATAAAGAATAAGAAAAAGAATAAAATTAAAAATAAAAAAAACAACGTAGATAGATAATTTAAAAAATGAATTAATTAAGAATAGTGAAAGAGTTAAGAAAGAAAGAAAAAAATGAAAAATTATTTGATGAATAGATTTCTTGATAAAATAAATTTTACTTTACATTAAGTTTTTTTGGAAATAGAATAAGTTATATAAATATTTTTACATTTTTATTATTAATAGGGATTTCAAAATCGAAAATTAATAGATTTTTCAAAAGATCCGAATCTTTAATTTTCTCACGATGGTTTGAGTACCGCCGCTTGAGTAATATGGATCAGTAGGTAAGTGTGGCCCATAGTAACGCATAAACGCGAGAGGAGAAAGAGAGAAATTGCAGTTCTCTTGAATGCAGCACGTGACTAATACAGCATATTATCGCAGTTCGTATTTATCGCAGTCGAATAAATTGCTCATGCATTAAATCCTTCTTCATCATCCCACAGTCGTCATGCAATTCTTTTATTTCATTTTATTCTGGAAATTATAATCACGGACACGTGATTTAGTACGCATTCAACGTCGGTTTCCGTAATATACAGTTTCTATAAAACATATTCAAACGAACAGATGTAGAAATAGGTATGTTCATTAAAGATCAAAAAAGAAGATACGCATTCACCGGTAATTCTTGCTTGTTCGAACAACAAACTGTTATGACGTGATTTATATGTTTGTTTCAGTGTTATTGTTTTATTGTCTCTCGGCAGGTGGAAAGTTCATCTTAATGTGAACGAAGAGAGAAGTCTCAGTCATCGTTGATCCATGTAGAGATCATGTAACGAGTTTCTCTTTTCAGCTCCGAAGGGTCAACATCCGGCTTTCGGTGTGCCTCTTATTAATATACCTAATATACCTAAGCATTTTAAAGTATAACGAGATGTCTGCCGGCTAATTCCTTTTGAAAAGCAAAATGATTTCGGCACGCTAAATTTTTGTCTTCGTTCGACTTGTAAATTAGACGTGCCACTTTCGTTGCGTTTTAAACGTCAATTACCGGCACCGTTAATTATAACTCTTTTTTTTTTAGGATTCAATTTTACACTCCATAAATGCTCATATCGTTGTAAAACTATTATCGAGAAAGTAGATAAGACAATCCAAAGATAAATTGGTGTATTCATTAAATTTAACTATCTGTTTGTACATATATACAATATTTTTTTTATACACATTTATAAATTTTTATATTAATAATTATATTAATTATATATAATTTTATATTATATAATTATATAAAGATAATAATCGAAATAATAGTGATGTAATAAAGGTAATAATAAGTATAAAAAAGGATTTAATGTGAGAATAATATCAGTAATTAAATTTTTACATAACAGATATATAATAATTGTTTATTAATTAAACAATTATTTATTAACTAATTGTTATTAAATTTTCCGAATAATTGTTTATTAACTAATTGATAATAAATTTTCCGACGTTTTTATTTGATCGCCATTGTAAATAATAATTTTATTAAATGGTTGGAAATGATCTATGTAAAATAAGAAGTAACACCGTTGAAATGCATTTGCTTAAATAAAAATGTTTTTTATAAAATGTAGTTAATAAATTCGGCGGGTTTACAGCTCATCATTTAGCGGCAAATTACATTAGGCTAAAATGCTTGACTCTAAAAACTCGCACAAGGTCTCCATGAATTGTATTTTTCGTTTTCGATGGTTTCGTCTCGATGTCCTCGCGGAGCATCCACTGCACTATCGCGAACAAATCGTAAAGAAAAAAAAAAGAATGTTCACAGATTATACGACCTTAATAATAAAAAGAAAGAAACGTGAAACTCTTCTTAAGAATCTTGAATTTTGAACCGACACAAGTATTCTGAAGAAGTTCGCGAAACATGTTTTCGTTTCTTTGCGATCGCCAATCAGTTCGTACGGATCGTACGAATGTTTCCTTAATTCCCGCCTTGTTCTCGACTTTCGAGGAGCCCCAGCGTCCTCGAGGTATCACGCTGCGCTCACAATCAGCGAGATCATTCGGTATTGTGATCACGTTGTACAATCGTATGTATCCCACGCGAATCTCACGATGCACAAAGTCCTCCACGACGTTTTTCCAATATCGTTCGGCATACTTGTTTTCCTTGACATACCTCGAAGATGAGCCCACGCATCGCTGTCGCAGACGTCCTACGTACAATTACGTATTGCGACAAAAATTTTCAGCACTATACACATATAATCAAAATTTTTAATTACAATTACAGACACATGTAATTATCAAATACAATCTCGTTATTAAACTATACATTATTCAACTTCTGAATTACAATAAATCGCGTATTTAATCGCAAAATGTAATTTTCAACTTTATATATGATTTTTTTTTATATTTGAGCTTTATATTTGATAGTTATTTAATAGATAAATTTAATTTTTTCTTAATAATTTTTTAGACGTAATAAAAGATTTATATTAATTATGTTATTATTATTATTAGTTTTATAGCATTATTACAACAAAATATTGTAAAGACGAATTTTGTTACAATTTCTACCATAATATTTTCTCCATATAAAAATTGTATTGGTCCAATAGTTAGTGGAGAAGAACTTAGCAGCTCGAATCGAGAATTGTCGGCGACAATTCTTAATGCATGATCATCCGTGGAAATAAGCTCGTCATCCGCATACATTATCCGCGATATGCGCTTTCACAGTGCGAGCCGCATCACTTCCGCCGTGGTGAAACTTACTGATATTAAAAAGAGCCGCGCGTCGAGCCCGTCGCGCGTCGCGCGTTTAGCCGTGCATTTAACGCAACGAGAAAGACGAGAGCCGTTCGTGATAAACGACGACGGCTTGCACGTCGCGACGGTATGCCATCGTATGTGATATTTATCTTCTATCTGGCAATGTCGTAGAGCGGACAGGTTCAAGTGTAAAACCGTGAAAGCTGAATATGCAGCAGAAAATTTATATAATGATACCAGATAATATTCCATACTTTATGCAAAGTTTCTCTCTTATTAAAAGCGAAACTGAGACTGATTACGGCGTTATTTAATGCTAAAAATTGAGCGATTCCAATGAGTTAAGTTTGCGCGGTGCAAGAATGTGAACATAATTTTGTTTCTCTCGAATTTTAATTTTATTTTCTGTTTATTTAACGTTGAAATGTTAAAGGAAACTTTTGAAAATGCTGCAATAGTAAAAGAGAAGTCATCAAATTTTTTCTTAAATCTGTTTTTTAATCAAATTTTTTTTTAGATAAAATTAGAATCTAATAAAAAAAAGACTTTTTATTAATTATTTATTATAGTCATCTTTCCTATGTGGGGGACACATTTATACGTGATATATGTTAAGTATGACAGATCGTTTTCGCGTAATGTGACCGAGATCGCCGTCCCGACAATTATTCTCTCGCCGACGACTGTACGATTTAATTGTTCGTGCGCGATCTCTCCGTGGAGAGAGAGATGGTGCCTTCGCTCGCCGTGCTATCTGAGATCGCAGGTAGAAATGGCGTGAAATTGTCGCGCCAACGTCGCCGAGTGAAAACGGATCGTGTTTTATAGATCGCGTTTTAAATACGGGTGTTATCAGACGATCACAGGCAAAACATTTTTAAACATTGGTGCGACCGGTCGGGAAAATAATTATTTCGCATTTTTCTCATTCGACGATGGGTATAGATCGGCGAACTTTTCTAATCTTTTTGACGTACCTTCGTACAGTACGAGGATTAGAGTATTATTCAGATCGTGAGAAGAAACGGTGAAAGTTTTTTTTTTTTTTACACAACGATGCCGTTAAAAGGAGGACTCTCTTTTTACGCGGATGCGGGAAAAACCGGCACGCGCGCGCTTATTTATTTGTGTTCATTTTCCGGAACGCGAAACGTCGTCGCCCCGTCATTGTGTGTTACACTTGGGCGCGCGAGGACGCGGCGCCCCTTTGGCACGATTTCCTCGGAAAAGGTGTCGAAGAGGCGGAATCTCGGAAGCGTTTGTCGCGGCGAAGGCGGCGGAAACGCACGCTCTTCCGTTTTACGAGCGATCTCGTTGCTCAACTATGCTTGAAACGGCGCGACTCGCGTCGCTCTCAGAAATAGAGAATCGGCGCAAAAAGTGGCTCACTTTCGATGCCGAAGTCGGCGAGCACGGTTCGTTTCATATTTCATTTCACGATAGAAGCGAGGCTCTCATCGATTTCCCGCAATAGCTTCTGATTGTCCTTGAAATATTCGAGTTTCGTCCAAAACCAGACGACGTAAAAAATGCTATCGGGCTTTACGCGAATATCTCGATCCTAACGAAGACTACATCTATTCTTGAAATCTCGTTCGGTGAGAAATATGTTGCGCCGAGAATAATGTGATAAATGGTTCAAATAAGAACGAATATACTATTATCGAAGATTAACACGTCAGAGGCTAGCATGGATGTAGCTTTAAGCGAGTTGAATTCGCGACAGCGACATAAGTCAGCAAAAATGAAATTTAGGTTCTATTCTCCCGTATACTTATGAATATATATTTTAGCATGATAAAAAATTGAAAGATTTATTTTATCTTTATAAGGAGAGAAAAGGAGAGAGAGAAAGAGAGAGAAAATATATCATAAAGAATATATTCCATTAGCGAACTTTGCATTTAAATGGTTTCACAAGCGGTTTCTCGTCTCTCTTAAAATCTGGGAGATATGATTCGTATTATTGTTTCGCTTAATTAACCAAATAAATTCGTATGGATGCAACAGCGGATGCAAGGAAACAGACCCTGATTGGGAATACAACGCTGAGATATAATTTGTTTTCCCCTTGTCGTAAGTTAAGATTCTCGAGTGTCCTCGTGGCGAATCAAAGGATTCATTGAGAGGGGCCATTAATCGATTTAAGACCGTGCCGAACGGGCCGACTGGTTATCAAACTGCGACTTGGGGCTTTCTTGCATTCCTGAAGTGAAACTGGAGAAGCGCCAGCTCGCGACCCGAAATCCGAGTCCTATCCGGCATTCGTCTTAACTACGCTTGTCCATCTTAATTGCCAATTATCCTCTTATCGATACGCATCTTTGAACCCGTCGAACGGACTTTCGCCGCGAAAAATGACACATCGACGTAAAATAATATTTCATCATTTACGTCGAATTGACGTTTTTGGTGCCGCTACAGATACCGATGCGTCACCTGTAATAAAGTGGTACGAGCATCATTAATTAAATAACAGAGACCTAAGTGACAGGAGTAATCGAATAACGATGATTATGCACTTGACAGTTCCGGGTGCGTGACAAAAAAAAAGACATTCCGAATATGTACTGTCATGTGGATACCGTTCGGGAAACTGTAATACGTTCTACATGTTATATAACATCGCGCGATTAAAAGTTGCAATATAATTTTATGTTACGTTCTCCGACAAACTGAATCTTACATTTACATCACGCGGGCAACGGAAACGGATTCAAGCATCACGCGGATTCTTTCAATAACTAAATATAGACCGAAGTAATAATTCCAGTGTTCTATTTCTAAGGTATTATTTTCTCAGATTCTTTGACGAATTCGGTGTCATTTCTTTCCTTAGTGAAAATGTCGGGAGAGATCGTCATTTATTGCGACTTTCTAGTTATTAGCATTATACATCTTTATATCTAAGTCTCAAATTAACGTCCTGTTAAATTACAGTTCGCTTAAAATTGAACGAAAGGTACAATTGTTTCATTCTCTCTTCCGAAATTATTTCATCAGGAAACTCTTAATGCCTTGCTTAATCGATTTGCTTTAAGCCACTTTTTCCTTTGATCGCATAATTAATAATTAATTACGCAAAATATATAATTATTATTTGATAATAATGAAAAATATGTCAACATTTGTTTAGAAAAAAACTGCAAATTTCGGCCAAAGAGTCTGTTTTTAAAAAATAGTGTACAAATATATTCGGTGTAACGTGAATAATGTAAAATGTATAACACTTGTGAAACGTAAATATCGATTAAAGTCAAGCGCCCGTTGTTTCGTTAATCCATCAAATTATCCGTTTTAACCCGTTTTAATCTCGCCGGCAGCTTGTTAATTAAAAATCGCGGCGTGCCTCGTCGCTGCTTGGCCGCATGTAATTATTGTCAGCGGTAATGTACGGCCTGTGTGCGGGATAATTGGCCAGCCCCTATTCGTCGTCCGAAAGTCCGCTGCATCCGTAAATTCTCGGGCAGCGCTGCCATAGAATAACGCCGACCTACTTTTGTACCCTGCGACTACTTTCACTTGCGAGGACGAGGTCGGCACGGATGCACGGGCGGAACGAATTTCCGAATAACATACCTCCGACTTGCCACGGGACTTGCTTCGTTCTTTAAGTCTCAGTTTTCATCTCTCTTCATTCATTACTTTTATGAAAACTTTCGCGTCCCGAGCGTGACGTTATTTGTACCCAAAGTAAGAAAAAGATTTACCAATCGTTGCGAGACATAAATGAAAAATCATCGTTTTTTTTTTTATATATTGACAGTATTATGCTTTTATTGAGAAGTGTCGTTAAACTACAGAATTTTACGTATGATTAAAGCTAGATGTACCGTCGTGAAATAAATGAAGTGAAAATAATCTTTTTAAACACGATTTCTTAATTTCAAATAATGTTGCTAATTCGATATTATCTTTGTATACGATAGTTATATGCAATCGATGTTACTATATTATTGATACTTATATTATAATATTATATATGTATATATATAAAATTATATATATAGTATATGTAAAATATTATATGTAGTTGATGTAGCACAATGTTTCATCGATTTTTATACTCTCGCTGTTTCACGCGTAAAGCCGTGAAATTTGCATAATGTGCGAACATTAACGCCATAAATCAACGGACATGGAGGAGAGATCGCCTGTATGATGATCCTCAGGCTTCCTAGTCATTAACAGCTGATCGCCGCACAGTCTTTCTTCCTGACGGCGCTGAATACCTCACGAAGGCCATTTCTTTTTGCGACGTCGTCCGGAGTTCTGTCAATGCAAAAACAATGCGTGTTCTTATCTTTCTTTATATTATTACGGATTTTACCGCGGTCGGCATGATAATGCGACAGAATTATATGAGAAAATGCGCCTGTGAAAAAGTCGATTACCTGGTGGCTATGTTCCACAAGACGTTTTGCAGGATGTTGGACTGTGGCTCACCGCCGGTCAAGATCAATTCGCAGATGGATCGTTCCTCGCAAATGATCGATTGATCGTCGTACATGCGTGCCTGTTTGTGTTCAACCGGTAGATCCGCGTGCCGCAGCTTCGAGAGGACGATGTTGGGCTGGCTAATGGAATTCGTCCTTGATTAAAAATACAAGCGGATGTTTGAGTTAGAGGCAAGGGGAGAAAGATAGCGAAGAGGAGACTTACGTTGTCGTGTTGTCGATCCGTATGACGTTAGGCTTTAACGTCGCCAATAGCAGACCCAGCGGCAGAAAAGTACCAATTAGATGAATGACCTTCTTCCAAGGGAATGGTCTGTGAACGATATATTCCGGTTTCATATTTGGAAAAAAATAACGTTCTTGAAAGAGTAAATGTTAAAAAGATGAATTGTTTCATCAAATGATGGAACGCATTATAAATTCGTTGTACAAGCAATTCGAGATAATTACATGAGTTAGATTAGACAACTAAGAATTAAAACTTAATTAAATAGTCAGAAATAATAAAATATAATTTAGAAATATAATTATAATATTATTTTTTAATATATAAAATATTTTATTTATGTAACGTATTACATTTATGTCTTAAAGAAATATAAATTTAAGATCACACTCTTTAAATATGCAGAGTAATGATCGTAATACAAATTCATTTGAAGAAAGTTTTTTACTTATTGAGTTACGTGGATTTAATGGATATTGAATAATATTCCTTACATTTTCTTTCTCTCTTTTGCTCTCTCTTTCTCCCTTGACATGTATATATGCATCGTAAAACAAATACAATTTAAAAAATGGTAATATTTAAATTAAACTCGAAGCAATATTTATATGGTTGGCCGCGTTACGTAACGCAATTAATGCATAAATTTTATATTAAAGATATAAAAAAAGATTAATTATTATCTTGCAGAGACCAAGACAGATATGTAAATAACGTTTAATATTATCTCCTTGACATTATGAATATATGTTATGAACCTTTTTTTAGAACGACATCAATGTTGCATTTACTCACCTTCTCGCTCGCGGATAAGCCATAGTCGGATGTGGGTCCTCCATATATTGCACGTCATGGTATTCGCCATCCGGTTGATAAAACGGATAGGGGAATTTCCGCTTTCTCGTGTAGGTTGACTCGTGTTGCTGAAGTACCATGACACCGTTACTCTCTGGTCTCTTCATCATCTCGATCGCGGTCTCCTGCGACGTCGGCTGATAAGCATTCTGATTCTGATCGGCGTAATAGCTGAAGACGTACGGTGACCTCGAGGAGTCGTAGTAAATACCAGTTGCTCGATGATCGGTCGTCGTTTTCCCAAATATGTCTTGCATCTCCGGCTTCTCGACGTTTTGGAAGAATGTCTGATCGACGAGCACGTGACCGACGGTGCCTTCCTCGAACTGCGATCTAGGACTCTCCGTAACGGTTTTTCGATCGTTGAAGGAATGACGGATGTTTGACGTTTGTACCGCGTCGTCGTCCGGGAATTTAATTCTGCTCGATCGCGTCGCCACGTCCAGCAAACTGGAGACACCCTGATACGCGTCCTGGAAGACGTTCTGAATCCGTTCGCGTCGCGCATCCAGCTGAACGTTGTTCTCGAATCTCACGGGTTGCACGTTGTTGAAGGGGCTCATCCGGACGGTCGGTTGCTCGATCTCGCCCAAATGCCGGCTGGGCTTGAAGACGTCGGAATCGTTTCGAGGGAGGGCTTCGCCGACGGTCGGTGACGTTAATTCGCGGTCGGTGACCGGTCTTAATAACGACGAGGCGAGCGTCGTCGTCTCGTGAACGGAGTATTGATCCGATATCGAGGAAGTCTCCTCGAGGGTGACTTTCGTTTCGCTTGTCTCTTCAGACGCCTCGAGGGTCCTCGCGAGCGCGAGACCGACGATCAGAATAAGACGAGGCAGGAGGAAGCGACACATGGAGATCTTACGCAACCACATGTTTCTCGTTCGATTAAGTCGGCAATCAGTGCGAATGATGTTTGTGCGTCTGCGATGACGAGCGGGCGCAGTGAACAGTTATTTCCATTGCGAGACGTCCGCGTACTAAGGCATTTGGCGCGATGTGCTGCGACTTTAACTCGCGAAAGAGACAAGGAGTAACGACGGGCGTATTCTAAAAAGCGTGAACGTGGGAATAATTTCTTAATCGCCGCCACAATCGTCGTACGCACTCCAATTGTTGTTGACAAAGTGAGCGCTGCGACGTTTAGTTCAAGCAGCCGCGGCCGTGATACCCCCGATGCATTATGGCGTAAATACATGATACGCCGCGGCGAAGCAAGATCATTTGTGTTTGAAAGCAATTTCACGTAAAATTAAAATATATTAGTGACAATTAATCAGAGAGATTATTATCTATCTCTTTCGCCTTTCTTCATATCTTCGAGTTCATTTATCCTTTTCGATCTTGGAACTATAATTTTATAGGTAAAATATTAGATTTAGTACAATTGTAAGGGATATAAGAATTAATTTATGAATTTTTTAACGGAAAAATTTAACGTTGCAGGAAAACGGTAACTCGTAAATGAGCCTGAATTATATATCGAAGGAATTGGACGTTATCGCTTTTCTGCTTTTATTTCGTACGATTTCATGAAAGAAAACTCCGAAGAGAAATTCAATAGCACACAGTAAAATGGAAACGAGCGAAACATACCAGACTGCTAAATTGCATAAGTAAGATACGAGACGTTACTTGCTCTAACGCTCACGGAACACGAGTATAATGAGCGGAAGGGGTGAAAAGACTTTCTAAGCCAAGTTTTATCGCCGAGCGGTGAGAGTCTGACCCTGTTTCGTGGCGAGGTCATTCCGATATGTTCTATATGCGCGATCTTAGAGTTTTCATGTTACACAAAAAAAAGAAATAACTTTTTATATGCAAGCTGCTTTATATTTTTTTCAAACAACTTTGTCTTGTACAATTAGCTTCATATTTGTATGAAGATGATTTCTTATTAACGCCTTGTTAAAATATCGACAATTTATTAAAAACAGAAGCGAATATTTTACGCTAAAAATTTAACAAAGAGGAGAATTCATGAAACGTGAAATTAATGAAGATTATCTTTTTAATAATATATTTTTCTTTTCTTTGTGTAATCTTTCTTTAGATATATAAACATTTTTATATCCTGTTTTATATATATATATATATATATATATATATATATATATGATTTAATTTGAAATATTCAAGAAATTATCTGAAAAAGAATACGAATTATCTCTAATAACTCCACATAAACACTTTCCTTAAAACTTTCTGTCATTGTAGATCTCTAACATCTAGGCTAGATCTCGCGGTATCTTTTTCACCCTTCCACTTCATCTTCTATCTCTTCTCTTCATCGCAACTCTGCCTCTGATATGACCGGCAATGAAAGTAGACGTTTGCTGCAGTCGCAGACCATTCTACCCTTTCTTCAGCATTGTCGTAGCCATTTTCGCGGTTAAGTGTCCAGGCCGACCTAATTCCGGTTTCGAGTAGGCCAGCTGACCGCACTGTAACCGGAATCGGAAGTAAAAAGATCGCGTCTCCGAAAACGTGCCATTTCATTTTTATTCATAGTGAGAGAACGAAGAATCTATTTTACGTAATTATCTTGATCCTGCAACGTAGCAAAGATCGATCCGTTATTTATCAACTGACCAGTTAGACAAACTGAAACTGATATGCTGATTGCTTTTGAATATTTAAAGAGAGATGTTGCAATTCAAACTTAACTGTACACTAAGTTTACATAAAGACTTTCTATGCAAATTCTTGATCTGTCGATAATAAACTTCAGGAAATGAAGAATGTACGATGATTGATTGTAAAATATACGATGACGCAACGTGGACATGTCTATTGATTTTATTTGGGATGACACGTAATGTGATAAATGCGCAGAGATACAGCGGAAATCGGTGGAAGTGCATAGCTGCTCGACAGACGAGAAAAGAAATCGTTCGTTTCTGGGTCGGCGCCAGACAAAAAATCCTAGATCGGTGAAAATCTGGCGGAAGAATCGGAAGCTGCTCGTAAAACGGAAACTGTTAAGACGCGTTTCACTCGCGCGACGAGCAGGAATCACCATCGGCGACGTGAGAGAGGAAGGCACGGGCAAAGGAAGAAGAAAAAAAAGGAACGACGGAGGTTTCTGGGCCGCGAAAGCGCAAAAATCGGTAAACGGCCGATTCTACAATTTGTTCGCCGATCCGATTCCGTCTACTACACGTCGAAGAAGGCCAAATCGGCGATTTGCCGAGCATGAAAATCAACGACGGCCTTCTTTGTCCTTTACGCCGGCGTGATGCCGGCGTGTCCTTAATTGTGCGGCCATTCAGCCAGAAACATCATTTCCTGTACGATTGTGGTATACGCGCAATGAATTCGCAAATATGTATATAATATATGAAGTTAATAAATATAATATATTAGATAAATAATTTTTTTCTTTTATTTGTTGTTAATATGATACCTATTCATCTCAAAAAGATTATTATTGCGTTAGAATTATTTAATGATAATAATACTAAGTGTCTCATCAGTAAATCCATATACTTCATTACAGAAACAGAAAGAGAGAGAGAGAGAGAGAGAGAGAGAGAGAAGAGAATTAAAACTTCTAATTAATATAAATTTTATATATTTACATTCTTGCATGAATATGTATGATTCATACAGTATGAATAGTGTAGATAGTATTAATATATTCATATAATGAAAGTAATTTAAATAACCGTTATGAATTATACAGATGGACATGGATATCAATGTTGACTATATTTTATTTCAATGTATTTCTGCAATAAGTGGAAACTCGAGGAAACTAGATTGTGAAGCTAAAAGAAGAACTGCGTATTCCTTTGAATAAATTCTTCTATAAAATGCATGTTCGTGTTTTACACCTGCATCGTATAGGAATAGGCAAACGAAGTAAGAAATCGGTCTCGAAAGGATTGAGATTCCTGAAAGATTCCCATGCGCGATCTCTCTGAGGCAGCCGAAACTTCTCAGCGGTGCCGCGCCTAGAGGAGGCCGCGCGGCTAGAAGAGAGAGCAACCCACCGACGTGTCCCATGTCAGAACGTGAGTTCTGCCGTGTTTAAACGGTGAAAGTAGCGATTTGACAAAAGGTAAAACTCGCGTGAAAATGACACTGTCACCGGTCGGAGCCGCGCCGCAGAGAAGCAGACGACTCGTCGTGTCGCCCGACTCATGTAGTCACCCTCATTGTCACAAGCGTCGCAATTAGCGCGTGACACAAACGGCCTGAGTCCGTTTCTCATTATCGTTGTCGTCCGTCGTCGGCAAGTACAAGACTCTCGCCGAATCGCGCGGGAAGCGAAGGGGGAGGACAATGCGAGTACAAGTAAAGCGACGCGCACGCGGAACGATCGGAGATCGGCTCCGCGCCACTTCAGTTTTCTCGGTCAATCACGGCGACGTCTTCGTTTGCACGAAACGATCGCTCGCTTCGCTATCGCTTAGGCGGCATGAACAATCTCATCAACGAGTGGCAATTAAAATCGCCGCGGGATCGAAGACAGGTTGCGTACGATCGTAACGGATGCATTAGATGAGCGTCTTGAATTACTCTCTGGTTTTTTCCTACGTTATAAGTGTGTCTGATTAGAGATGCTGATAAGTGAGAAAGCGTATTGTAAATAACTCGTCGAAATGATTGTTTTAACAAGCGAATTGATCCGAGATTCGTTAATAAACGTTAAATGTTAGTAATTTATGACGAAAGAAAATATGGGAATGTTACAAAATTTTATAGCTGACGAATAAATAAATTTGTAATTTGAATAATGCAATATATATATGTAACATATTCAATAATTTCGATATATTTTTCAAAGTTAAAAAAAATATAAAAATAATAACACTATAATTAATTGCAACTATTATATCTGCGCGATAATTTGAATATAACATTTTGCGATTCTAAGATCTAAAGCTAATTAGGATATGTTAATATCTAAACATATCACGATATTTGCGATGTGTAAACAGAATTAGAAAGATGTTTCAGCCTCATTTGAGAGAACTTTCCATCTCCATCGTTTTACTCTAGTCATCTAGTCGCTTGTTATTCCTACAGAAATTTACGCGAAAGCGGAGGCATTCTGAAATAAATAAGTACTTATATCTTCGTGCAAGAATATAAAATGTCTTATATTTCAATCATCCAGAAAGCTGTTAGAAAAGCGAATGCCTTAAAAACCGCTGTATCTCGCGGTAACTTCTTCCATAACAGTGTTTCGCGCAAAAATACAGACATCGCTCACTTGTCGGAGGCCAGTCAGGCCGGTGATGGGCCCGATCCCATCGATCATCGATCGTGGCTGGCATGACTGACCTCGCCTCCCATTGTTGTTCATTGTGTTCCAAGAACGATCGTTATCCAGGGGGAAGGAGAAAGACCCCGTGGGTAACCGCGGCGTAGGATGACGGCCAGAGCGAGAGGAAGAAGCCGCGAGGTGAAAAGAGGGAAGGAGACAGGCGCGGAAATCGCGGGCGAGAAGGAGAGACAATGTGGCGCCCGTTCTCCAGGTTGACCAAGCCGAGGAGGTAAGAACGGAATAACACAACGGCCACGGGGAATGGAGGAAGATGCAAAATGGACCAAGCACCGACGAAGTGGGGATCTGGATTAAAAGCAAACGAGGGCAACGTCTCGGCAACAGAGCCATCTCGGACCTTGAGGAGTCGAGGCCGCCGCCGTACTCCACTTCCGCATTCGTAACGTCGCTCTGTTGTCGTTGTTGTTATTATTGTTGTTGCTGTTACTGTTGTTTTATTGCTGTTATTGTTATTACTGTCGCTCCGTTATCATACGCCCCCGCGCACGTTGCGCGCAGGTACCTGCTAACGGATCTCCGGCGAAACGACGAGCGGCGGCATACGGGCCTCGTTTGTTCATGTAATTGAAGGCGATTCGGACGAGTAATATCGACACGGTCAGTGCGACGCGTTGTGTACGCGAATTATTCGTCCTCCTTCAGCGCTCTGTCGCGTTGCAATCACACAGTAGAATTCCTTAGAATCAAATAAACGACGTGCGAAGTCACGAGGCGGTCGTTCGAGTTCGGGTGGATAACAGTGATCTCGAATGAATCGTAATTCTCTAACTGTTTCTCTAAAACTCTAACGCGACTAATACGACTTCGTTGCGGTTCCACGGGTTATTTATCAATTTTTTATAACCGTCCTATTGTTATGTTTGGTGCCTTTCTTCAAAATAATATTGTAACTTTCTTGCAATTGTTAATACGCGATATTTATTCTTTTTCTTCGCGTGAGAGATAAAGCTGCATAAGAACAAAAAAAATTGGAAAACAATTTCTTGCAAAATAATAAAATGAGTAGCTAAAAGTGAGAATTCTGTTAACAAAATTCTGAGAGATGTATGAAATAAAGCTTTTCGTGTTTCAGATGACGACGAGAGGAGCGGTATGTCTGCTCCTGACGATCTTGACGCTAGGAGGTTCGCGGGGTAGCACAAGGTACTTCGTGAAAATGCGAACGAACGCATCCGAGATGTTTAAAACGAAGGCGGACAACTTGAGGATTCTCCAGGATCCGATAGCGATCACACCGAACCCTTTGTACGATAACGCGGGGAACGAGCATCAAGCCGACGACGGGAGGATGACCAAAGAGATATCGAGCGATCAGTACAATCGGAGAAATTCCTTTGTCGAGTCTTCGACCTTCAATCCAGATGTGCTCAACAAGTTCCTCGAGGATTACGCGAGCAAAATTAAGAGCACCACCGAGAGGAATTTCAAGTATCCCTTCAGAATTGTGAAACCACCCGCGGAGCCTCTCGTTCTTGAAATCGACAGTGACACCACCGAAACCACGACCATCCACGAACAGGGCGAAAGATTTGATCAGATCTCAAATGCTACTTCAACGGAGGATGAAGTAAGTAGCGTATTTTAGATAAGAAATAATTAATGATATATTTTGTCTTTTGAATGATCAAATAAAACATAAGGGAAAATTAAGGCAAAAAGGACTTTTAACTTTAATAATATTTTAAATTTTGCGGTGTTATTTATTATGTGATTTGTTGTAGATAATAAAGAATATGTCAGTTAATTTTTTATTATCTTTGCTGATTTAGTTAAGCGAAGCGTTAAACGATACCTTGAAGAGAAACAAATACTACGGTACAAACACTTACGAAGACAGAAACGGCTGGGTGACGCTGGAAGCAATTCCGTGGTCTAAGAGCAAAATTTCTAAGTGGCAGGCCAATCCCAGCACGCAACGACCTTGGCCAGAGATAAAGCCATGGGATAAACCGAGCGTGAAACCATGGGCCAGCGATTTTACCATCAGACCCACTTATGAAAACAACAAGCCGTGGTAAGTACCACAACCGTTAATTTTCCTTTCGCTACGCAGTCTTACGTACAATTTGAAAATGGGTTTTGTGGTTATTATGACGAGAGATATTTATTGTTAGCATCGAAACGAAACTTTCTTTCTTACAAGTGTAAGCTCTTTACAAAGTGTATCTCGTTTTACGCTACTCTCTACATTAATATTAAGAAATATATCAAGAAAGTCCCGTAGAAATTTGTTCACTTTTCACTTCTGCGTTTTTATTTTCTTTACATAAATAAAGCCAATTTATATACAAAAAATACCGATTTTATTTTATAACATTTTAGTAAAATATTGAAAATAATATTTTAATAAAAATCTTGACACTTAATTTTTATAGTTACCAAAAAAATTTTTTAAAACAAAAATCGCGTTACTCTCCTATATTAATTGGATATCTGTTGTTTACTTTATAACATATTACACTTCTCGACGAAATATCGGCTTCAGGCAAATGCAAAAAACAAACGATCGTATCTCAGGTACGACAAGCCAAAACCCAACTGGCCCGAGAGTAACGAGAAACCGTGGCAGAAGCCGATTTCACGTCCCCCTTACCGCCCTGATGACGCGTCTAATCAGGCGCAGAAGTGGCCGCCGGAGAGACCGTCCTGGAACAAGTATGACCCTCATCGTCCCAGCAGCGATATCATCACGGACGACAGACCGGCCAACTTCCCCAGTACTTGGTCCAGTAGGCCGCAGACCGCCTCGTATCAATTTATTGATAGATATTCGGAGAAGGACCAGGCGGGGGACGGGAGTAATTGGCATGATTACCCGTCCAGATACGAGGACCGTCCTCGGCCAACTCTGATCACCGAGAGACCGAATTTCTCGCATTATCAGTACGTGAACAATCATCCACCGAGTCATCCGTCGAGCGGCGACGGCCAGTGGATTCTCTTGTCGACGAACCGAGGATATTCCAAGTCGAGGCAGAGATCGATCAAGTTCGACTCGATAAACTCAGCGGAGCCATTCAAGAGTATCAATACGACGGTTCGCGGAAACGAGGATAGACGAGCTGAAGAAGCTCCGGTAGCGGTGATGACATCGAAACGCCAGGTTAGGCTAGATGATCAAAGAGAGATTAAAAGTTGATTTTAATTAAACTTTTAATTAAGTATCTCCTCTCCCTCGCGACAGGCAGTTTTTCTTCTTCAATTTGACGAATTTGGCTTTATTCGACAATAATTAAAATGTCATGGGGTGTACTGGGATACTGTTATCGATACGAATTACCGAATGATTTAATTTCACAGAGATAATTGTTAGTGATGCGGAGGTGATGCTTTATCTAAGGGAATATCATTGGCGGCCGCTTTATGAAAGTTCGTTTACCTAGGTCAGATTGACGGTGTTGCCATCGATCAACGGCACGAACACGACGACGTCCCACGGAGGCCTTCTGGAAGTCGAGAAGACGTTCAAGAGCGTCGAGCAGAGCCGCAAGGAGTACGAGATGGAGAAGCTGACGACCATACCGAACATCCTGAAGAAAAGACCGATCAGGCACACAACCCTGAGCGCGCAACCGTCCAGTTCAGCCGTTCTAGCAGCCGTCGGAGCAGGTAACGGCTGTAACAAATTAACTTGAAATATACTTAAAAATATATTAATCACTTGTCAGAATCGTCTGACAGATTTATATTTCAAATTAAAAATTTAAAAGTAATGCACTTAAAATCTTTTGGCATTTAGTGGAAGATTGAATGTTTAGTTTGTGAAAAAAATCGTTAATATGTAAATAACAATATATGTATACAATATATGTATTTAATTTAAATTAAATATATACATAAGTTTTTATTAAAATTTCTAATTACGTCATATTGTGAATTTAATGTTATTTTATCGTACAATAAAGTCGTTAATTACGTCAACAAAGAACAATTCCATAATAAAAATACACTTAAATCCAATTTAATATATGTTTTGAGAATTTAAATTGCGAGATATTAATATATTTGTTTAATTTTGTTAATAATCATACCATTCATGAAACAACAGGTATGCTGCCGGCGACGATGGCGATGATGATACCGATGATGCTGGGTCGTCGAAAGAGAGATCTGAGACTGATGAACAACGATCTCGAAGTGGACCTGCATAAGTTCGCGAGGGAGTATAACGTTCAACTAAGGAGACCAGTAGGACTGTAGGAATTAAGATAGCAGAATTCGTTCCAAGAAACTCATTAGGATGGCGAACGATAGGGAACGCGCGCGCACAACACGTGCGAATTAAATGTTGAGATGCAGGACATAACACCGAGGGCCCGGAAACGGAAATGATTCAGCCGGAAATTGGCTTCGCGCCGAATATCCGTCTGGTCCGTATCAATAATTAAATTGAGCGTACAAAATGATATATGCATGACATGACAGTATTATTGGAATATTTATTAACGTTATCGTATTTTTATATAAAGTTTATTTCTCAAGTCTATCGAAAATTATTTCAATTGCGAAGGCCAAACTATGAAAAGATAGTCAGAAGAAAGATAAGCCTCAATCTAAGTTTCAATCGCATATTGAATCCGAAGTCAAGTGATGCATTCCGCAAACTATTTTCGAAGATATTGCGTTACATTAATCAGTTAGACTATAGACAGCGTATTAATACTGAATACGTTTCTGAATAATCAATGCATTAACATACAGGCGAGTGTATAAGCACGATCGATTTAGAATCACCTGTTGCTGTTCTAGTAGTAAGTAGAGTTAAGCGCGACCTTCGGGGTAAGAAGTTCAGCATAATTGCACTGAAAAAAAAAAAACAATTTCCAAGCGCTACTTTTTTCATCTTTTTGGATTACCGCATTTGAATTGTCGTTGACACAGTGCTTCGATTGTGTAAAGGGAGACGTAACAGGTTCCGACTTTTACCGCCATCCACATGAATATTTATTACCTATATTTTACGCTTGACTAAACATCGTCGGCGAATCTTAAATTCTCGATTTATTCCGCGATGCAACCGAGCGTATCGTCTGCAACGAATTAAATTACGTCGCCCCGTAAATTCGTGTTCGTTTATAATCCAACGGCATTTAAGCGTTTTAGACTGTTCGGTTTTTCTCACAGATTCAACTTCGGAATAATCGCGGCTTCAAAAAATCAATGTCACTTGATGACTTTAGCGTGAGAAAAACACAAATGTTCACATTCTCCAATATTTATTTACATAGCGCATATCAGGGTATTACATAGAGAGTTTTGCATACTTAACTATTTATTTATTTATTCGTTCAACTCGTTTTATTTATTTAGTTTTATATATATATGTATATATATATATAGCGTACTTTACACGTAATGATTAAGCTGCCCAATAATCGGCTCCACCATATGTCTTCGCTCGCCCTCCAGCGAGAGGGTAAGAGAGCAGCGCGCATATACCAAAACAATTGTAGAGAGATTAAAAAGCGACTTTCAATAAAGATCCAATCGATCCTGTGTGTGTGAAAGAGAGAAAGAGAGAGAGAGAGAGGGGGGGGGGGGAAATCTCTCGAAACCCCTCACCAATCCCGCGGCTATCTCGATCGTCCTGGTTTCGATTTTTATTCCTGAAATGCATCTTATCACGCATCTTATATCGCGTGTCGAGATGCATTCCGTGCGAGGACCCGAAAAACTAAAGTTAAGACACTTTGTGTTAATCGAATAAAGTTTTTTTTTTCGAACGATGTCGAAACACTGTTGAGAGCATCGTCGTCGATCGTCGATCCCTCGAGCATCGAGAAAAAGCCTGTGAAAGAAGGTCCGGTCCCCGTCCGCAATGTTTTAACGGCGATACCTTGAAGAAGGAGACGCCGCGCGTTTAGTGATCGTAACAGTAGTCCGTGTTCCCCTTCGTCGTTTTAGCTTTCTAAGTGAAAGGACGATCGCCTAACGTATCGCATCGCATCGTTTACGGATGGACAAAAATGATTGCCCATGAAATCGCGTCTCGAATCGGCGCCGCGAAGACGTCGAGAGGGGCACCGCTTCTTCGCGTTTCCCCGACTACCGTTACTACAGGATTACGGTCGCCGTCGTGTCGTCCGTCGCCGTTATCCACCGCGTGTCCATCGTGTTACGCCGTGAAATTGGAAAACGCGTATCGTCACACAACGCTAAAAACTTCCATCGCTGCTCCTCCGAGTTTTTTCCCCCCTCATTCCTCGCCGTTGATCCTCTTCTGCACGTGACCCAGATACCGCGCGAAGCCCTCGCTGGCGTGCTTAAGAATCGTCAGGCCCAGTCTGAATTTGATCTCGGCCACCTTCTTCACGAAATTCAAAAGGCTGAAGCCCTCCGAGGGCTTTTTCGTGGTCGAGCTGTCAAACCACTCGACGGTTGTCACTTCGGGATCTTTCGCGGGATGCGTGGTATCCTTACCGGGGAAATTCTCCGAAGAGATGCTGGTACCGCCGTCATCTGTCTTTTCCACGGTCATGGTCGTCGGGATCTCCGTCGTTTCCTCCGTTTGTCTTATGGTTTTCATCGTGGACTCCTTCGCGCGCGTATTAGCTTCCTCCTGCTGCTTCCTTTTCTGCCCCTCGAGATCCTCCACTTCGTTCTCGCCGCTACCTTTTGTCTTGTGTGTTGGCACCCCGCCACCCGGCAGAGCCGAGTCGATGATATCCAGAATTTCGTTGCTCAGATCCTCCTCCTCCTCCACCTCTTTACGCTCCTCTTCCAATTCGCGCTTCGATGGTATTATTTGTATTACCGATTCCCTCTTCGAACGTCGCCTTCGACCGCCCGCGGGCTCGTTAAGGGCGGCGCGTTTGACCTTAAGGGATCGCGGCCCGTGCTCGACGGCCACCGCTGTCGGCGTTATTTCAATCTCTTCGTATCCATCGTCCGGTCGGACAGTCGATGCTCCCGGATGGCCGTAACCGTGCAAACCGGCCACGTTCGGGAAATCAAAGCCCTGCGCTACATCCCGCTCGAACTGCGTCTGTCCCACCTCCGTCGACATGTAACCAACGCCTTTCTTGCTGTCCACCGGCAAGTTTGATACTTTCACATCGAACGGATACTCCTTGGGTACATTGCCGACCACGAATTGCCGATTCGCCGCCGAGCTCGCGCTGACTTCCTCCGTGAGATCCGGACGTTTGCGATCGTAATAAACCGGAGTAGTTTGTACTTCGGGATATCGGAAGTCCGTGTTCCGATACTTCACCGCCGGTTGGGTATTCTCCGCGGTTTTATAAACGGGAGAAGTAGACACTGCAGACGGATATCTCGATTCGATTTTCTTCGTCGTTTGAGTGTCGTACGCGCCGTCGTAATGCTGATAATGATAGTAATTGTTGTTGTTATTGTTGTAGTTATCTTTCGCCCCGGGATACTTGTTCTCGTAATTCGTCATACCCTGGAACACCTTGGACAACATCTCCTCCTCGCTCTGCCCGTAGTTACCGCCGTATTCATCCATGTTGTACTTGTAGTTCGGCTCCACGTCGTAATTCCTTCGGGTGATCGTACCGCCGAAGGGATACAAGAAATATGAAGCGAGACCGAGACCCAAGCCTACCAGCGACATGACGCCAAAGCTCGGCATCACTTCACGACTGAGGAAATTGTAGATCTGAGTGCCGATCGCTTTCTGCGGTTGCTTCTTCTTGGTCTTCGTGTTTGCCCCGACCTTTGTCTCGGGCGCGATCTTCGATTCCTGGACCGCGTTGTCCATGATGGTGGAGTCAGTAACGCTCTCGCTGGTCTCCAATAGAACAGGCATCATCGCGGGTGTCGTCGAGCTTGGCGCCGAGGACGTGGCAGGCTTCCGCCTGCGATTCTTGTTCTTCTTCCTCTTCGAGTTGTGCCTCGGCCGCTTCGTCGTCGAGGTGATCGACTCTATCATGCTTGTCGATGGCGTCGCGGACGATTCCGTTCTTGTTTCTACGTTAATTTTGGTCAATTCGGGATTGAAGTCAAATTTGAGGTCTATTTTGGAGTTGCTAAGATCGTCCGTATCTTTCACCAAGATTTCGCCCATCTTGTTCTTGTCGATCTTTTCGATCGTTAGAATCGGCGCGTTTACTTTGATCGGCTCTATCTCGATCTGCGTGGTCTCGTCCACGGGCTTCTTCAGCTGCACTTTCAGCACATTGTTCCCTTTCGTGCCAATCGGCTTCGACCTCACCGGTACCTCCACGAGATCCGCGCTCAACAGATTCGACTTGTACGTGGTACCAACGCTCAGGGTGGTACTCGCGGTGGTAGCCGGGAGTACAGTGGTCGGAGTCTTCTGAGTGTCCATGAGCACCGACGCTTTTATCTTTGTGACGAACATCGGCTTCTCAGTAATCTCCGGCTTGTCCTGCGGAGTCGTGATGATCGGGACCGGTTTGAACGTCACCTTCTCGATCTTACCGGTCGATGCGGAGGTCTCGTTCTTCACCGTTTCCGGCTTGATCGTCGTTTTCCTCGTTGGCTTCGATCTCGTCGGCTTCGTAGTCGTCGATTTTATTGTCGTCGGCTTAGAATTTGGCCTCGGCGTGGTGACTTTCGGCTTAGGAGTGGTTCGCGGCGGTTGACTCTTCTTCGTCGTGAGAACAGTCGTCAACGTAGCTGTCCCGTCGGTCGTCGTCGAGGTGCTTGTTGTCGTGGTACGGATCACCTTCAGAGTTGTGCTCGATGAGGTTTCTGCCTTTTCCGAATCCTGAGTAACTCTCTCTGGTTTCGAGGTAGTCGTGATTTTCTTCGTTGTCGTCGCAGCTGGCTTCTTTGTGATCACGGTCACTTTCTCGGTGGTTATGACGGGGGTTAACTGCGGCGTGGTCTTCTCCGTGATCTTCTCAGGCTGCGAGATTGTCTCGACTTTTTCGATCGTCGAGCTCGGTCTCACCGTAAGTCGTACCTCCGTCTGGAACGGTTGCTGCGTCTTCGACTTCTCGATCTCTACACTCTTCACGGTTGTCGACGGCGGATTCAGCAGGATCCAAGTGGAGATACCGCCGGTAGTTGTTGTCGGGTGATTTTTATAGGCGGTAATCAGCCTCGTCGTACTCATCTCTCGTTCAAGCTCTTCCTCCGTCATCGCCATCGCTTGGCCCGGATGGCCGGTCTCGAAGTAGCTGAACTTGGAATTGATTGGCCTACCGAAACTCACGGGCTCCAAATTGCTGATCTCCGAGCTAACATCTCTTATCAACGTAGGAACATTGTTCTTCTCCGAGGATTTCGGCGTAGTCGCAACGCTGAGATCGGCTTGAATGAGTTCCTTGTTATTCACCGTCATCACATCCTCCGGATTTGTAACGTTAAGGAGTTGAGTAGCGACGGTTCTCAGAGACTGATCCATATACTGCAGATCCTTTAACTCACGATGGGTGTCGTTCGGTTGCCCACTGAAATAAAATTTCATTGTTAGATTTGTTGAGAAATTATAAAATATAGTTTCGTTGAGAGTATTTTCACTTTGCCATCATCGCATTAACACGATATAGTATGTTTTACATATAAGAGATTTAAGTTTATCATATATTGACATAAACATTGCATGATAATATACCGTTTTCTTCTTGAATCATGATTTTTATTAATTATTGTAGAATAAGAAAATACATACGTTCTCTCTCTCTCTCTCTCTCTCTCTCTC